TAATCTTGAGAGGTCATTTTCTGTTTAGACCCTAGGACTGTCAATAACGAGATCAAATCGTTTTGGAAATAATTCATGATTGACAGTCCAGCTTTAGCATGAGAAAAGTACGGGCTGACTTGCCCATATTGGTTGCTAAAATCTATGTCTAGGCCAACCTCAGCGTATCTAAACCATTTTCATTTTTGGCACTGATAACTTCAGTACATAGGCACTCATATGTATGATTATAGGCTTGCAAAGCACAAACTATGCATGCACGAGCATTACTCAGACAAAATCTATGGTTTCCATTTTCTAGGAGAATGGACAACAAATCACTCTGGTACTAGTAGTTATGGAAATTTCAGTATGCTTTCTGGCCATATAGTTTGATAAACCTTCTATGCAAAAATTCTGCTTGGCAGATTATCTTTGCTTTCACATGAAGGTCAGTTTAATATGATCTAGTTGACTCTATAATAATACGATAGGACCACTCCAATAACTCAACAATTAGGTTGGGCCATGGGTCTTTCATGAGTTGGGTAGAACTTCTTTAGAAAACCGGCTTGCCAAGGGAGGGTGCCCCAGCCTTTATAACCCACATGCCCACCCTTTTCCCTTTCAATGTGGGATCCTAACATTCCACCACGCTTCCGCAACCGACGTCCACGTCGGCCTCTTTACCCTCGTTGGCCTCTTTACCCCTTGGGTGACTACGCGAATCCCCTTTTCCCTTGGGCCTCCATGCCCTTTCTCGGGGTAGCAGCTCGAGCCCAAGGTCAGCCTGCCACGGGTCAGCCTGCCACGTGTGCGCTGCCACATAGGCGCAGGATCATGCTCTGATACCAATTGATAGGAACCCACTCCAATAACTCAACAATTTGGGTGGGTTGGGCCATGAGTCTTTCATGGGCTTGGGTAGAACTCTCCTTGAAAAACCGGCTTGCCAAGGGAGGGTGCCTAAGCCTTTATAACCCACATGCCCACCCTTTTCCCTTTCAATGTGGGATCCTAACATTCCACCACGCTTCCGTAACTGACGTCCACGTCGGCCTCTTTACCCCCGTCGGCCTCTTTACTCCTTAGGTGACTACGCAGATCTCCTTTTCCCTCAGGCCTCCATGCCCTTTCTTGGGGTAGCAGCCTGGGCCCAAGGTCAGCCTGCACGGGTCAGCCTGCCACGCGTGTGCTGCTACATAGGCGCAGGATCATGCTGTGATACCAATTGATAGGAACCCACTCCAATAACTCAACAATTTTGGATTGGGCCATGAGTCTTTCATGGGCTTAGGTAGAACTCTCCTTAGAAAACCGGCTTGCCTAGGGAGGGTGCCCAAGCCTTTATAACCCACATGCACACCCTTTTCCCTCTCAATGTGGGATCCTAACATCTGGGTGGGCATGTGGGTTATAAAGGCTTGGGCACCCTCCCTAGGCAAGCTGGTTTTCCAAGGAGAGTTCTAACTAAGCTCATGAAAGACCCATGGCCCAGTCCAAAATTGTTGAGTTATTGGAGTGGGTTCCTATCAATTGATATCAGAGCATGATCCTGCGCTTATGTGGCAGCGCACGCGTGGGAGGCTGACCTTGGGCCCGGGCTGCTATCCCGAGAAAAGGGCATGGAGGCCCGAGGGAAAAGGGGATCCGCGTAGTCACCTAAGGGGTAAAGAGGCTGAGAGGGTAAAGAGGCCGACGTGGACGTCGGTTGCGAAAGCGTGGTGGAATGTTAGGATCCCACATTGAAAGGGAAAAGGGTGGGCATGTGGGTTATAAAGGCTTGAGCACCCTCCCTTGACAAGCCGGTTTTCCAAGGAGAGTTCTATCCAAGCCCATGAAAGACTCATGGCCCAGTCCAAATTGTTGAGTTATTGGAGTGGGTTCCTATCAAATACCCATTTTAAATTCTTTGGAAACTCGAGTAGCTTTAACTTTGTAAAGTGAGCTTTATCTCAACTATTAATATGTGTGGTGTCACAAGATCAAATTTTCCTGTTCATATCATATGAATTAATTAATTTTTAATAGCTGTTATTTTATGATTCATGCCATTCGTTTTCTCCAATTTTCTATATTGCAAAGTTTCTGTTACAGATTGATCTATGTCCAGTTTTCCTTACTTCACTTCAAATTTTGTGCATTTACGTTAGAGTTTTCTTGGGTGTTCTTGCAGGGGCTTCTATAATGCTTGCAGAGTTAGCAATGGAGGCTGGTTTGCCGAATGGTGTTTTTGATTTGGTCTGGAACCAATGTATGTTCATATTGAAAACAATATGCTATTATGTATTTTGTTATCTTCACTTTTAACTGTTGAAGGTTTCAATGAAATTTTTGTTGAAGAAATCTATTTAATACTACAAGTCAATATCATATGTCCAGTGAAAAATGATTTTATATTTCACAATTGTATGAAGACCTGAAGTTATGATCTCCTATGAATAGATGTTGCTAATGTTGTATCTCTAATTTAATTGGTTTTCTTAATTTATTTCTTTGTCTCAGGATATTGTTAATGCAATTTGCGATGATGAGGATATCAGAGCTTTATCTTTTGTCGGTTCAAATACTGTAAGCTAATTTAGGAAACTCAGCTTCTTGAAATCCAATATGATGCTTCTGTACTTGACTCTGACAAGCAAAAGACAATAACATTAACTGAAATTGGTTATGCTCATCTCCGTGTATGAACATATAAATATAGTTTTAAGTATATCTGTATGCAATTGCTGAGGCTTCTTTCTTTGTCTAGGGCTTGATGTTAAGTTGATTATTTATCAGCCTATTATGTGTTGTTATTTTCTTCTCAACTCTCTCTTTTGTCCATTATTAAGTTTCTTAGACTCTAAATTTGAGTCTTTCTGGCTGATGCCAATTTCTTCTTGGGAGTTTTTGATTGTTGACTTTGGCAGTGACTTGGGTCCACCCAATTGTGGTATTACAGACGTGTGACTGCACTTCATGGTCTATTTAGGATCAGAAGGAGAAGGGGTTTTAAGGATATGATTTGGTTGAATGGGTGGTAGAGGCAACAATTATTTGAGTAGCTCTTTTGCTTCAAAATCTTTTAGCAGTTTAGACGGAATTGTATGTGTGGTATTTAGTTATATCAGGGTAAGAAAGCAGTGTTTATGTAGTCATAATACTGTGTGCTACAGTCTTCTTTTGTCCTTTTTTTATCATCATTTGATTTAAGTATCGTCAATTAGTTTGTCTTTGTTTTCTACTTGTTCTTTTGTTTTCTCATATATGTAATAATTGTAGTTTTTTATTTTTTTTTCTTGATGTCTTGTCATTATCTGTGAAGGCTGGAATGCACATATATGCAAGAGGATCAGCCACAGGGAAACGTGTTCAGGTAACTGCATTTTCTTTATTTTGGTAACAGTGATCGTTCTTTTATGGGCACAATATGATTTTTTTAATCATGTAATTTGGGGTTGACATTAATTGACTACTTGATTAACTATCGTGCTAGTCCAACATGGGAGCCAAAAATCATGGAATTGTCCTTCCTGATGCAAGCATAGATGCTACTTTAAATGCTTTGGTTGCTGCTGGCTTTGGTGCTGCTGGACAAAGATGCATGGCACTCAGCACTGTAGTTTTTGTTGGAGACTCAAAATCATGGTATTGCATGTTCGAACTTCATCTAATTTCAAGGGTTTTGTGAAGTACAATGGTGTTTTATATCCTTTTGCTGACTTGTTTCTCAGCATTTGCATGCTATGAAGATTATCCCTGGTATTGGATACTCAATGTTTTGAATTGTTCATTTAACACAAGATTTTCTTGGAAATTGCCAGGGAGGACAAACTAGTGGAGCGTGCAAAAGCTCTTAAAGTAAATGCTGGAGCAGAACCTGATGCAGACCTTGGTCCAGTTATTAGCAAACAGGTTAGTGTAATGTAAAATTCAGGAATTTCCATCTCTTCAGTACTAGCTCTATCAGTTTTCGCAGTCTCACTTCCAAGACTTCACTATGCATTATAACAAAAACTGCTGATCTTGCTGTTTTATGTTGTCCAAATAACAATCTTTTGATAGTCAAAGATTTACTTTCCGAAGTGATCTTGAGAAGTTTAATTGCTAAGTTTTTCTTGGGAATGCTTCTCTTACTGACAGGCGAAGGAACGAATATGCCGATTAATTCAAAGTGGTGTTGAAAGTGGTGCCAGACTACTGCTTGATGGGAGGAATATAGTGGTATTTTAAACTTCTTATTGATTATTTTTTGCTTCTTTATGACAGATCATGGTTATGTACTATCAATGGTTTTCTCATATCCATTTATGTTCAAAGTTGTCAATCAAATGTTATGCAAGAAGCATGCGACATGTACTGAGAAATATTAAATGATTAGAAATTACAAGAAAGTCAATTCTGATTTAGTAATAAATATATAAAGCTAGAAAGATCAAATGGTATAAAAGTAAAGTTGTCCAACTGGTCTTGTGTTCAACCCCACATTGCATCGGTTAAAGTTATAATAAGTTTATCTAGTGTTTCTTGTTGTAATTTGGATGAGATTGTGTTCGATGTATATGCCTTGAGCTTGAAGGGGTGTCTTAGAGCTTAGACGCTTTTGTTGCAACGTTATTTATAAGTTTAAGCTGAAGCTTTTTGCTGAAGTGGTAATATAAATCATTTATGAGAATATTAGAATAACATCTTATCGAAGTATTATTTCAACAAATTAATATCTTATCTTATTAAAAAGTATTAGTTTGACAACTTCATGATGACTGAAATCCCATCCATGGCTTTTACAATACACCTACTCTTAAATGGGAGCTTAAGCTCTGATAAACCTGCGGTGCATAAGGTGTACACCCTTAAGGGGCGTAATAGACATTAAGGAGGTTGTTACGGTGTAGGGTCCACAAATCACAGGTGTAGGGTGGGTAGGAGTCTGTTATGAGAATAAGAATTGTGTGAGTAAGGGCAATTGTGGAAAGGGTTAGTATATAAATAGGATGAGTCTTAGTAGCAGATTAGCCTAATTTTGGTGGTAAAATAGTGAAGTTTCCTGGCTTCTCGAAATGCTAGGATTTATGGCTACCGATTCATTCCATTCCATTATCTTCTGATTCCATTTGTTTTCTGCTATCTGATTAATATAAATATAGCTGAGGTTATACAGATTGTGTTTCTTGCATTATTATTGTTGCGGATTGGTTATGGATTGGGTTTGATTGCAGGTGAACATATCAATTGGTATCAGAGCCAGAGTGGGGAATGGTAAAATCCAAAATGGAGAATAGGATGGATAACGTGGAGAAGGAGATGAATACAATAAAGGAAGACATAAGTACCTTGAAGATTGACATGGGTAGTGTTAAGGAATATTTGACAGAAATGAGGGAATTAATGCGCATGAGAGAAGAAAGAGATGGAAGAAGAGACCGAGAAAGAGAGAAATCCTCTTCATCAGTAGAGAACCAGAACAGCGGTGGAGAAAAGGAACCAGATCGAGGAGACAGTGAGGAAGTTGGGAAAGAGGAGAAAAAGAACACATGCAAGCTGGAGTTGCCAATCTTTAATGGCGAAGATCCATATGGATGGTTCTTCAGAGCAGATCGTTACTTCACCATCAATCGTTATCAGGAGACAAAGGTGGTAGAAGCAGCAGCAGTTTGCATGGAGGGGAGAGCTCTGAGCTGGTATCAATGGGTTGAATCCAGAGCACCATTTCAGTCGTGGGATGCATTCAAAACAACACTGATTGATCGATTTCAGCCATCATTTACGGGATCTGCCTATGAGGCCTTAGTAGCATTGAAGCAAGATGGGACAGTCACGGAGTACCGAGAACAGTTTGAAGCCAACGATGCACCATTGAAGGATCTGGGTGAAGATCTGTTAAAGGGGATTTTTGCAAATGGGTTGAAGGAGGAAATTAAAGTTGAAATACAATTAACTCAGCCAACTTCATTATTTGGGCTGATGGACCAGCCCCACAGGGTTGAAGAAAGGAATTGGGTGTTAGAAAAGTATAGGCCCAAATCATTTAAAAATCAAATGGGTAGAGGGGAGCCTTATTCACGGGTCAGCCCAAACCTGGATGCCTCATGTTCTAACTGGTGGAACACCAGCGCAAAGCCCCCAGATCCCCTTTCGTTTTCGTCAAACTCCAACAAGGGGCCTGAGCGAAGGGAGAAGTCGACTGAGTCTGTGGGGTCCAGCAACCGGAACTTCCGACTACTCTCCGAGGCCGAAATACAGTTCAAAAGAGAGCGGGGCTGTGCTATCGCTGTGACGAAAAATTTGGGCTAAACCACAGGTGTAAGAACAAATCTCTGCAAGTGCTACTCCTCTTGGATGACGAAGATGCAAACCCACCAAAAATTGAGACAGAAACTGACGATGAACCTAACTGTAAAGGTAAATCTTTAGCTCTTTCGATGAACTCCATTGTGGGTATCTCTTCGGGAAAAACTCTGAAGTTAAAAGGGCAGATTGGGGATGAGAGTGGTGGTGTTATGGATAGTAGGGCTTCCCACAATTTCGTTTCCCATCAGATTGCACAGAAGCTAGGGTTAAAGGTGGATAAGGGGAAACCCTTTGGAGTAATGGTTGGGCATGGATGTACCATTCGGGGAGAAGGAATTTGTAGGGCAGTTAGGCTGAAACTCCAGGGGCTTGAGATCCAGCAGGAGTTTTTTCCGTTTGAATTAGGAGGTGCAAACGTTGTGTTGGGAATTCCATGATTGAGTAGTTTGGGAGATGTGAGTGCCAATTGGAAGAGTTTAATGACGGAGTTTGATTGGGAAGGAAAAAGGGTAAAGTTGCGAGGGGATCCTTTACTGGTGAAGACTGAAGTTTCACTGAAGACTATGGTCAGGTCCTTGCATTCAATGGGAACTGGCTACATAGTGGAGTTTGGAGCCATAGGGGTTGAAGGAAGATTCAATGCAGGAGGAAACTGATCCTAAAATATTAGAGGTGATAGAAAATTATCCCCATTTGTTTGACCAGAATCCTAAACTACCTCCCCATAGGGTCCACGACCATGCCATAGAACTCCAACCAGGTTCTAAACCCCCAAATATCAGGCCATACAAATATCCGTATTTTCAGAAGAATGAAATCAAAAAGCTGGTTGGGGAAATGTTGACTGCCGGAATTATTCAACCTAGTGTTAGCCCGTATGTCAGCCCTGTTCTATTAGTCAAAAAGAAAGATGGGAGTTGGTGATTTTGTGTGGATTACCGGGCATTAAACGACATTACGATACCCGACAAATTCCCAATTCCGACCATTGAAGAGTTACTTGATGAGTTGGCCGGGGCTACGATTTTCACAAAACTGGATTTAAAGTCAGGATACCACCAAATCAGGGTGCGCGAGGTTGATGTTCCAAAGACAGCCTTCCGCACTCATGAGGGGCATTACGAGTTCCTTGTTATGCCCTTCGGTCTCACTAATGCCCCCTCAACATTCCAAGCTTTAATGAACTCAGTGTTTAGTCCTGTCCTACACAAATTCATCCTGGTTTTCTTTGATGATATCCTTAAATATAGCCTTAGCGTCTCCACCCACATCCAACATTTACAGCTAACATTTCAGATTTTGCAAGAACACGAGTTGGTTGTTAACAAGAAAAAATGTTCGTTTAGCCAATCTAAGCTGGAGTATTTGGGTCACCTGGTCTCAGAAAGGGGAGTGGAGGCAGATCTGAAAAAGATTGAGGCCATGGTGTCTTGGCCACGACCATTAAATGTGAAGGGTTTGAGAGGATTTCTTGGGCTGACAAGTTATTACAGGAGATTTGTAAAAGCGTATGGTTCCATCGCACAGCCCTTCACTCAACTATGAAAAAAGACTCCTTCACTTGGAATGACTCAGCTCAATTGGCTTTTGATAGACTTAAGAAAGCCATGACTACTGTACCAGTTTTGGCAGCTCCATATTTCACACTTCCGTTTGAGATTCAGACAGACGAGGACCTAGGGCTGTTTCGGTGCAGCAGTCTCGCCCCATAGCCTTCCTCAGCAAGGCCTTTTCCCCTACAGCCAAGCTTAAATCGGTTTACGAGCGAGAATTGATGGCCATTGTCTTTGCGGTGAAGAAGTGGAGTCACTATTTGGTCGGTTGGAAATTCATAATAAAGACTGATCAGCGTAGCCTCCAATTTTTAACGGACCAGAGATCAAAAACCCCGGAACAACACAAGTGGATTTCCAAGCTCATAGGTTTTACCTTTGAAATTCAGTACTATCTAGGGGCTTCAAACAGAGTGGCAGACGCTATTTCAAGAAGAGAAGACGGGACTGAATTGGCCAACCGGACAGCCTTATCTATTTTTTGAGTATGAGGACATGGCGTCGGAGGCACAAACAGATCCGAAACTACGGGTAATCATACAAGACCTTCTTCCTGATTCTTCTAGTCGACCCAACTATCAACTCCGCAGGGGCTGCCTATTCTATAATAACAAGCTGGTAATTCCAAAAGGGTCCAGGTTTGTTTCAACATTACTTGCTGAGTTCCACCAAAGTCCTAGTGGAGGACACTCGGGTTTCTTCAGAACATATAAGAGAGTCTCCTCGGTGGTTTATTGGGAGGGTATTCGGGGAGATATACAATGCTATATCAAGGTCTGCACTACCTGTTGATGAGATCCTAACCTGCAACTTATCAAATACACTACAATCTAGCTACAGTCCAATCCAAATCACAATCAAAACAAGGAATCTTTATATTAATAGCAGCAAACAGTACATCTGAATAATATACCCAGACCCTGTTACAATATTCCACAATTGAGAATCCAGCAAATAAGCTAAGTAAAAGAGAAAACAAAATGATAATACTGACTTCGAGGGTCAGTCACCTCCCCTTCCCATTCTTAATCAACTTTTTCAATGCCCTCCCTTTTCCCTTCTTCGCCTTTTATTCCCTCCTAGCACCTAAGTTTACTTCTAACAGAATTTCTCCTCTCTCCAATCTCCTCAGGCCACCTGTCCCTTCATAACAAATTCTTCTAACCTCCTAAATGTCAATTATTCCCCTGCTTCTTACCCCACTTCTTCCTACGGTAAACTTTTCCCCTTGGTTGCTCATCATTACCCTCCCCAAGTAGAACCACCTTGTCCTCAAGGTGGAAGGAAGGAAACTGGCTAAGAATAGTTTCAAAATCTTCCCAAGTGTTTTCAAAGGAAGGTAAACCTTTCCATTGAATCAGTACCTCCCACTGTCCATTTAGGAGTTTGCTTTTCTAGAGAACAGCTTCAGGTTCAAGTTGTAGAATGAGGTCTTCATTGAGGCCTGCTGGTAAAGGCTGACTATTGGTTATAGGGAACGTAGCTTTTTTCAGTTACGAAACAGAAAGACATCATGAATATGTGCTGAGGATGGCAGTGCCAGCCTATATGCGACTGCCCCAAATTTTTTCGTGATGACAAATGGACCATAAAACCGTGGACTGAGCTTCTCATTATATCGACGGGCTAGGGACCGTAATCTGTATGGCTGTAACTTTAAATACACAGATTCCCCTACCTCAAATGTAACTTCTCAGCGATGAATGTCCGCGAAGTCTTCATGCGATGTTGGGCCTTAAGGAGATGGTCTTTTAACTTGTCAAGAACCTGATTGCACTGTTGGAGTTGCTGGTCAACTTCGTTGAAAACGGAAGTGTGGTCTGAATAACGCAACACTGTTGGGGCTTCTCGGCCATAGAGAGCCTTAAAAGGACACATGCCGGTGGAGCGGTTATACGTAGTGTTGAACCAAAATTCTACCCATGGAACCCATTTTGGCCATGATCGAGGTTGACCATTGACAAAGCATCCGAGATACGTTCCCAAGCAACGGTTTACTACCTCTGTCTGACCATCTGTCTGTGGGTGGTATGCCGAACTCATGTGTAATTGGGTCCTTGATTGTTTAAACAGTTCACTCCAAAAGTTACTCATGAAGACTCTATCTCGATCGGAGACAATGGTATGAGGAAACCCATGTAGGCGAACCACCTCTTTGATAAACAAATCAGCGACTATCTTGGCTGTGTAGGGATGTTTGAGGGTTAAAAAGTGACTATATTTAGTCAAACGATCCACTAAGACCAAAATTGTATCAACCCCGTTAGCTTTTGGAAGCCCCATAATGAAATCCATAGATACGTCTTCCCACACTTGGTTAGGAATCGGCAGCGGCTGAAACAAACTCGCTGGACTCATGCCATCATACTTATTTTGTTGGCAAACCGGGCAAGCAGTCACAAATTCTTTGATATCATGCTTCATTCCTTCCCAAAACACCACACTTGATAGCCGCTTATATGTTTGGAAGAATCCCGAATGGCCCCCGATGGGCTATGCATGAAATTCTTGTAAAATTTTCTGGATGTGAGGTCCAGATTTCGGCAGTACCAATCTGTTATGGTACAGCAGATGGCGGCCCAGTAACCTGAAAGGATGATGACTATTAGGGTCGATCAGGAGCTACTGTATTATGCCCCGTAACTTATCATCACCTTGAATGGCATCTTCCAAACCCTCCAGTCCTGAAAAGTAACTCACAAAAACAGCATCTAGTTCTACCGTCTCTGGCATCCGCGAAAGGGCATCTGCTGCCTTGTTCTGAGCGCCTGGTTTATATTGAATGATGAAGTCTAACCCAAACAATTTGATAACCCATTTTTGCTGATTTTCACTCAATAATTTCTACTCAGTGAGGAAGTGAAGACTATGCTGGTCTGTCCGAATCACAAAACGTCTACCTAACAAGTAATGCCGCCACTTTTGCACAGCTAGTACAATCGCCATTAATTCCCTTTCATAAACTGACTTCAACTTAGAGTTTAAAGACAAACCTTTGCTGAGGAAAGCAATTGGATGTCCTTGCATTAGCACAACCCCTAATCCACTTTCGGAAGCGTCGGTCTCCAGGACAAATTCTTGCGTAAAGTTAGGCATCCGAAGAACAGGAACACTGGTCATGAGTCGTTTTAATTCCTTAAAAGCCCCTTGAGTTGCTGTATTCCACACAAACGAATCTTTCTTTAATAGGGCAGTGAGTGGCAGGGCAATTTTTTCGTAATCTCGAACGAATCGATGATAATACCCCGTCAATCCCAAAAACCCTCTGAGTGCCCTGACGTCTCGCGGTTCTGGCTAGTTGATGATACTGTCAATCATAGAAGGATCAACCGATACACCCTGAGCTGAGACCACATGCCCCAAGTATTCCAACTGTGACTGCCCAAACTTACATTTTTTTTTATTGACCACCAGTTGATTGTCTAAGAGGATCTGCAGAGTAAGGCTAAGGTGTTTCACATGGTCGCCCATCTCCTTACTATATATTAGTATATTATCAAAGAAAACCAGCAGAAATTTTCGTAAATACGGTTTGAACACGTCATTCATCACTGCTTGGAAAGTAGTCGGTGCATTGGTGAGGCCGAATGGCATTACCACAAACTCATAGTGCCCCTCACGTGTCCTGAGGCAGTTTTGTGTGTATCCTCTGGTTTCACTCAGATTTGGTGATAACCGGACTTCAAATCAAGTTTCGAAAACACTGCCGCGCTTGCCAATTCATCAATGGCTGGAATGGGGAACTTGTCCGGAATGGTCACCTGGTTAACTGCCCTATAATCCACACAGAATCTCCACCCACCATCTTTTTCTAACCAACAAAATCAGGCTCGAGAAGGGGCTGATACTGGGTTTAATAATTCCCAACGCCAACATTTCCTTGACGAGACGTTCGATTTCGTTCTTCTGATAGTAAGGGTACCGATACGGCCACAGGTTTGGTGGTTGAACCCCTAGAACTAACTGAATGGCATGGTCTCTGGACCTGGCAGGTGGTAACCCCGAAAGTGGCTCGAACACTCGACTAAATATCTGTAACACCTCCAGCACCCGATCATCCACCTCCCCACTGTCATCACACTGTTTTTTAATCTGACCAAACTCTATCAAACACCTTTGTCCCTCACTCCACAATGCCTTGATCATAGCTTTGAGCGAAACCATGGTCTTATTCAGAGATGGGTCCCCACGCAGACATACAATCTGATCGTCCAGCTTAAATCTCATGATCTGCTTCCTCCAATCTGTGGTGGTCTCCCCTAACGTTTCCAACCATGCAATTCCTAGAACAACATCCGCACTGCTCATATCAAATGGAAAAAAATTCTGAATAATCGTTATCCCTTATAGCTCCATACAAACATTTCTACATTCTCCCTCACATCTCACGCTATATCCATCACCTACTCTGACCCCAAAAGACTGAGTTCCCATCACAAAAATTCCCAAGCCTGTAACCACCTTTGAACTAATAAAATTGTGGGAAGCCCCATTATCAATCAACACAATCAATTCCTTACCTTGGATTCTTCCCTTGAGTTTCATTGTTTTTGCGCCATGAATCCCTACCATCGAGCTCAGAGAAAGCTCAACTTGTTCCTGCCGTTGCTCCATTTCAGATTCTACAGACTCCCCACCACCAATCGGGTCTGAATCAGCCTCCTCTTCATCCACTAAAATGATTTGAAATTGCTTCTCACCACATTTGTGCCCAAACGAAAACTTACCATCACATCTGAAGCAAAGACCTTTCTCTTTTTTCCATTGGATCTCTACGTCTGTCATTTTTCGTAATGGGAAGTCTCTTCTCTGGAAGTTAGGTCGTTCATAGGGGCGAAAAGACGATGGGTTGTAGTGCGTCGATGAGTCTTGTACTGAGGTTTCCGGCGATCTTCGAATGAAGTTGGAAGATTGGTGTGATTTTAGGGATTCAGACGTGTTAGGGAATTTTGGGTTTAGGTGATTTTCGAATCTGTTCGTGTTAGGGAATTTTGGGTTTGAGCTACTTTCAAATCGGGTCAAGTTAGGGCTATCCAATCGAGTCATGGGTCTGGGTCCATTTGAAGGTCCAGGCCCCATAATGCGTGTGGGTTTAATTGTTCCCATTTGGGCCTCCTCTATTGCTTGATTCCTCTCTTCAATTCGTTGGGCCAGGTCTATTATTTGCATTAATGTTGTGGGCTGGGCTAAACGAACTTCAGCCCTTCAATTTTTAACCCATTGATAAATGCTGCTTGCAGTATCTCTTCCCTCTCCCCTACTAGCAATGCCGCGACAGCTTCAAATTGACGTTGAAACTCCATAACTGAACCAGTCTGCTTCATGGCCATTAATGACTCATACGGGTTGAGCTCTTGAGACCCACTAAATCTTTGAAGTAGTGCCAGTTTAAACATAGCCCATGAACTTGCCGGAGTTCTGGATTCCATCCACTAGAACCAATTAATAGCTTCACCCTCCATACAGACAACTGCTGCTGTCATTTTTCCTTCCTCAGTTATTCCATTGAGGCGGAAGTAGCGCTCTACTCTAAAGACCCATCCGTAAGGATCTTCACCAGAAAATATCGGCATTTCCAACTTTCTTCTTGTCACTTCATTACGGTTTTGGTTACTGTTGCCAGACCCGCTTGCTCCATTTGTATTTTCTTCCAGCTGAGACCGAAGATTTTCCGATGAACGCATCTCAGTTCTCCCTTCTTCTTCCTCATCCTTTCTTCACACCCATGACTGTATCTCAACCAAACATTCTCGAATGGTGCCCATCTCAACTCCTAACTTCGTAACTTCTTTTTCCACGTTATCAATTCTGGACTCCATTCTTGTCAAGACCATACCCCAGAACTTAGTGCTCTGATACCACTTGATAAGATCCTGACCTGCAACTTATCAAATACACTACAATCTAGCTACAGTTCCAATCCAAATCACAATCAAAACAAGGAATCTCTATATTAATAGCAGCAAACAGTACATCCGAATAATATACACAGACCCTGTTAATATTCCACAACTGAGAATCCAGCAAATAAGCTAAGTAAAAGAGAAAACAAAATGATAATACTGACTTCGAGGGTCAGTCACCTCCCCTTCCCATTCTTAATCAACTTTTTCGATGCCCTCCCTTTTCCCTTCTTCCCCTTTTATTCCCTCCTGGCACCTAAGTTTACTCCTAACAGAATTTCTCCTCTCTCCAATCTCCTCAGGCCACCTGTCCCTTCATAACAAATTCTTCTAACCTCCTAAATGTCAATTATTCCCCTGCTTCTTACCCCACTTCTTCCTACGGTAAACCTTTCCCCTTGGTTGCTCATCACCTGTCAACTAAACAAACAGTCATCGTTAAAACCAACCAGACTCCTACAGCCCCTGCCCATTCCAAATCAGGTTTTTGAGGATCTCTCCATGGACTTTATCGGCGGACTACCACGTTCGAAAGGAGTGGATACCATTTTTGTGGTTGTTGACTGCCTTACCAAATACAACCATTTTTTTTGTCTTGGTCACCCCTACACGACAAAGGATGTGGCTGCCATATTTGTTAAAGAAGTGGTCAAGCTCCACGTCTTCCCGAATTCCATTGTTTCTGACAGAGACACTTTTTATGAGTCAATTTTGGCAGGAATTGTTCAAAGCTGCTGGCACTGTCCTGAAATTTAGTTCGGCTTACCATCCACAAACAGATGGACAAACGGAGGTGGTCAATAGGTGCCTCGAGGCTTATCTCTGCTGTTTCTACAGTTCTTAGCCACGATAGTGGCCTATGTGGTTTACTTGGGCAGAATTCTGGTACAACACAACTTATCACAGCTCCATCCGAATGACCACCTTTAAAACCCTCTATGAAGAGATCCCCCCACCCTTTTAAAATTTACAGACTACCCCTCAGCCGTGGAAGATGTAAATGAACAAATGAATGAGAGGAATTCTATGTTAAAGGAGCTTAAGGATAATTTAGCTTTAGCTCAAGCTCACATGAAGAAAAATGCTGACCTTCATCGGCGAGACGAGTGCTTCCAGCCTGGTGACTCAATTTTTCTGAAGCTACAGCCCTACAGGTTTAAATCTCTTGCCCGGAAGATGAATGAAAAACTCAGTACCCGCTTCTATGGTCCTTACACTTTTTTGGAACGAATTGGACCAGTGGCTTATAAACTGGACCTGCCTCCCACGGCCCATATTCATCCTGTCTTCCATATTTCTCAGCTCAAGAGGAGCTTACATCAATCGGTGCCCATCCAACCCCTACCGGAATCACTTTCGGAAGACCTGGAATTACTGGTCCAACCAGCCACAGTTCTCTCTATGCATACTCTATTAGATGGCTCTAAGGAGGTCCTCATCAAATGGCAGAATTTACCTAAGTTTGAAGCCACTTGGGAACCATATGAAGTGATTAAAACGCAGTTTCCTCAGTTTCACCTTGAGGACAAGGTGACTTTTCAGGGGGGGGTTTATTGATAAACCTACGGTGCATAAGGTGTACACCCTTAACAAGCGTTATAGACATTAAGGAGGTTGTTACGGTGTAGGGTCCACAAATCACAGGTGTAGGGTGGGTAGGAGTCTGTTATGAGAATAAGAATTGTGTGAGTAAGGGCAATTGTGGAAAGGGTTAGTATATAAACAGGATGAGTCTTAGTAGCAGATTAGCCTAATTTTGGTGGTAAAATAGTGGAGGTTCCTGGCTTCTCGAAATGCTAGGATTTATGGCTACCGATTCATTCCATTCCATTATCTTCTGATTCCATTTGTTTTCTGCCATCTGATTAATATAAATATAGCTGAGGTTATACAGATTGTGTTTCTTGCATTCTTATTGTTGTGGATTGGTTGTTTGTGGGTTCCTTGCATTATTATTGTTGCGGATTGGTTGTGGATTGGGTTTGATTGCAGGTGAACGTATCAAGCTCCAAAGGTGATAACTTTTGCTGATCACTCTGTCTTCATCAAAAATTCGTCATTTTGACATATGGAAGAATAACTGAATTAAAAGAAATGAAAGAAAATAAATATAAGCCACCACCCTCCCTGGCCTGCTTTGATCAATGAAACAAACACACTGGAACTGAAAGCTAATAGCAAACTTGTCTTTCAATTTCTCTCCAAGTGGTCTATTTTGTCATTGATTGGGTAATTTGCATTACTCAACAGCATTAAGTTTTAGAATGAAACCAGCTTGCTTTTTATGGTGACAAACAGGTTCCAGGATACGAGCATGGGAATTTTATTGGTCCCACTATCTTAACTGATGTCACAGCTGACATGGAGTGTTACAAGGTATGTTTGTTTTCTTTCTATGATACTTTGCTATGTACTCTTAAGATGTGGAAAATTTATTATTCCTAGTAGATGAAGGGATTGCGAGTTTCAAATTGGCATAAACTTAACAATACTTTACATCCTGCTTTGCAGGAGGAAATCTTCGGCCCAGTTCTTCTTTGCATGCGGGTTTGTTGATTGCTCCTTTTCTCTTTCTCTGCCTATTATGCTTCTCTTTACTTGTTATGGTAGTTCTTGACATATGTTTTTGTATCCCTCTTAACATTTAGGCTGACAGCTTGGAAGAGGCCATAAACATTGTTAACAAAAACAAGTAACTCCTTTATTATTACCCTTTTTTTTAGAAGAAACAATTACAATACACTATCCCTTTTGAAATTGCATTCAAGTTGTATTTCTCTTACAGATATGGTAATGGAGCTTCTATTTTTACATCATCTGGCATAGCTGCAAGGAAATTCCATACTGAGATTGAGGCCGGGCAGGTAAAAGTCAACCCTATCAGAAATTACATTTAAATTGGACAATTATAGTTAAAAGCTGCAAGTTGTAGGTATCACTTTTCCAGCATATATTAGTCCCCTCCCCCTTTTTTCTTTGATTGAAACTAGATTGCAAGATAAAAGAAAGCACTTGTTTCACTGCCAAATTAGATATTAATTTTCGGTTGAATAGCGAGCGTGCATTGGTTATATTCAAATTCTCATAATAGTAGGTTCAACTAAAGTGAGTTCATTCTGCTTGGAGTTTTATATGAAATTCCTAACAAGTTTGCTCTGATACAGGTTGGCATCAATGTGCCAATACCAGTTCCCTTGCCCTTTTTCTCATTTACGGGATCCAAGGCATCTTTTGCAGGCGATCTTAATTTTTATGGTAAGATTTTCCTAGGAATATTTTTGCCCCTGTCTGCCCCGTCTCTACTAGATATACTACTTGCTTAAAGATGGCGAAATAGGGTGAATCTTATGAACTCGCGAGTTTTTATACTGCAGGCAAGGCTGGAGTTAACTTCTACACCCAAATCAAAACAATAACTCAACAATGGAAGGATTTACCTGGTGGCAGTGGAGTTTCACTTGCAATGCCAACTTCTCAGAAGTAAATATGGTTGCAATGAGTGTAATTCTATGGCATTCTGCAATTTGTGTGAACCCTTCAATAAATTAATACCAAATCTCTCTCTCACTCTTGTATATATGCGCCTTTCGCTCTCTTTAGTTTTCTGTTTTCTTTGGTGGAATTGCAACTTAAACGGGAGCAGATAAATTCAACCAATAATAAAAATGGAATTCAAAATGTTTTGCTTCAAACATGTTAAGCAATTCTGCTCTTGGAACTTTGTGACAGTGATGAGTTTTATTAAATAGCAAGACTTAAAAGGCTGATGTTTTGGTATATAAGCATGCTTAATAGGGATGCCCAGATTTTTATTCTTTGCAATGCCCTATTTAGTAATCTCGAGTACTTAAACGCTATTGCTAGAAAATAAAATATATACCTTTTTTCACTTTGAAACTGAAATAATGTCTTGATGATTCTTTCTTTACGTCTTAGGTGTTATAGGTTGAAGCTATTTTTCTTCAACCCTTCTTGGATGGTATGCTAAACTTGAATCAATGTCTGGATAATCCATCATATATATATATATATATATATAAAATAAAAAAAATAAAAAATAAAAAATAAAAAATAAAAATTGAATACTTGTCAGTTGTCAACGCTACATTTACTGAGACTCCTCTATAACTACAAATGACCATCATAGTACTCTACCATGTTGCATCAACAAAACAATTGTGGGGAATTGTGACAATACCAGGACTAAAATCTTGATAATATTTTCCGAGGAACAATTTTTTTAACACTAAGTTAATAGTGTACAAAAACTCGGTAATATGGTAAAAAACATAACTAACGTTGTTCATTACTAATGTAGCATTGCACGATATCGAAAAATTCATTCTTACCGATTCAGGTTCCACCCTTAAGTTGTGCAACCTGGGCCAAGTGCTTCCTTCCCTTAAGGTGACATTGCATATCATGCTTACTATTGCAGCTTCTATTGCATATTCTGCACCAAAATAGTGACTGCTTATGCTCATCAACACACTTATACTTGATGTTCTCTTGCTGCTGTTGCAACTTTCTCTGTCTCCGGCTCTGTCTTCGACTGGATGTTGATGCACCATTCTCCAGCTCCTGCACAGTTTTATCAGATTTCTTATGCTCTGAAGCAGAATTTTTTGTTTTGGATGGCTGGTTCTTTTCTTTCAGCTCCTTACATGTTTCTCTGTGTCGTCTTCCCCGAAGATGTGAGTTGAGTGTTGTCTCACTTTGGGTTGTCACTTGACATATAGGACAAGTCCACTCCCTCTGGACTCTCATAGTAACTGGTATTTCACAAAAATCTCTAACTGCTTCCACTGTATCTGAGATTTCTTTAATTTCCCCAGCCACAAGTTTCTTGTTCTCGGTCTGAGAGAGGCCAGGCTCTGTTCGAGTAACCTGTTAATAGTGAATGCAGAATATCATTGCTTGATCAGTTCATTACAAATGTAGTAAAAGCATGTAAACATAGTAGTCAGAAAGAGAACAGTGTTGGTGTGCGTTATGAAATTAAAAGAAAATTAAAGGAAAAAGGGGAAGAGAAGGGATTAAGCAGTTGCCAAAGTAACCCCTGAGTTATTTTACTAGTTCATAGAGTTCTGACTTCTGACTAAGGGCTACTATAGAGTCCCATAACCTTGATAGTAATATAACATCCTAAGTAGGAGATCCCAACGAAAGATAAATCTCTAATTTAACTCAACCTCTGATTAGATAAGCAACAAATTAATGATATGTACAAATAGTCATTGGTCAATTAATATCAACCAAGTACAGCTTGATTGGAAATGGTTATTGCAATGCTTCAGTAACTAAGATCTTTTTTAAGTTAAAGAAGCACCATAATTATAAACCTTGTATCAAATTCCCTCTAAGTATTTACATAAGTAAGGATGAAATTCCAAAGTAGTGTTGCATGCATTTATAAGTTGTCTATGGTCATTGTCAGCATACCTTGACTTTCCATACAAATCAAGCATGCTTCAAAGCAAATTCACCATTCAAGTGCATTAGAATGTATTGTATAAAAGATGTTTAAATACTTTCATTTACGGTTGAAGGGTTTTAGATAAAAGATGAAATAATTTTAATCCAATGTTCTATAATAAACTGTTATCAAGAGTCATAGGCTTTATGCATACCAATTTTAGTTAGATAGTCTACTTTCCAAGACTGGTTTTTTTTCTCAGAAAACGTTGAGCAGTAAAGTAAACTTTCAAATAGATGGCAGTAGAAATTTTACTTGCTTTGCAGCATCCACATCCTTTTTCTCAGTTACTTTCTCCACAAAATTGTTGGCACTCTGCACTTTCACTGCATCAAGGTGGAAGGATTAGCTCCTTATAAATTTTATTTAGTAAAACAGTAAATTTTTTCAACACTAACAACATTTAATTACATTTTGCAAAGATGAGATGTTCATACTTTGTAATAATGTAGACATCAACACCAGAGAATCAACGACTAAAATAGCATCACATACCTTCACTAGCAACCTCCAAAGGTTGAGGTCCATTCTCTTTCACATATCTCTTGAACTCAGTAGCCAAATTATTTCCCTCGGTGACGAACTCCTGACTCTGCTTGAACTGGTTATTGAGGAGAAAATTTGTGTCCACGAGGAGGCATGGGCGAAGAAAATGTTGGTAGACATAAAAAGCACCATCGAAGTTTGGTATCACCAACAAGAAGGAGATTATCATCTTGATGTAAGGCCAAAATGGTACCCTGTCATGTAATCATAAAATAGCAAATGAGAAAAATAATCAATATATTGAATTCACTGAAGTAGATCACTGTATTTTCATCCAATTGCCAGCATTTTTAACAACTCTAGCAGTCAAATTGAACAGACAAAATACATATAGGAAAATATGGAACTGAATCTTTATAGTTTAAGACAGTTATACACTATTTTATGATGAGCATAAACTGATTTCCCACTTTAGTAGTTGAAATTCACTTTGCATATTTAATTGGATCCCAAATAGAGCTAAATGCTAATTACTTACCATTGGAGCAGCCTCACAAAAGCATGTTCAAAAAGGAAAATTAATGAAAAGAGAATCCAATAAGCAACCAACTTCTTAGGATCCGAGTTTGAATCACTCTCAATCGTCCGTATAGAAGCACACCTGTAGATTAAGAACAAGACTCGTCATCCTTATGATCATTCATCAAATTAAGGCAACCAATAAAGAACCCATGACCAAAGATATATACTTACAGAGGATAAACCACAGAAAGCAGAGGCCTGCACACAAGGAAAAGGAAAAATATTAATTTAATGCCCTGAACCGAAACATTAAACTAAAGAATGCAAATCATTTTAACATCAAATTAAATCTTTTAATACATACCATGCAAGAAGATCAAGCCATTTCACTACAAACTTGGCAATACTAACAAAATCCATCCCCAATTCTATCTCTCTTTCTGTAAGTTTCTTAGTTTTTATTCTTTTCTTGCTTAAGTGGAGCTTCACTTTCATGCTAAGGTACTAAACTTTAAAGAAACACTCTGATCTGTGTGTTCAATTACACTGTGAAAGCCAACTTTAAAGGACAAAAATGAGTGAATTTCAAATACCTCCTTCAAGTTTAACAAAGTCACCAAACCTCCAAACATTTCATAAAGTAACCTAACTCTCCCAAGGTTTTTTGTGCAAATACCTTTATACCCTCAATTATAGCATATTTTTCAATTCAACAAGTACACATTATTAAATAATGATTTTTTAATGATAAAAATGAGCAATAATTGAAAGTAAAAAAAATGAACAAAATATATAATAATTTCTATAAATAAAAAAACTCAACTATCTTATTTGTAGTGTAATACTGTTTTACATCAAGTCTTTTACAATTAGGGACACGTGCCAACTTAGAGATAGAAGTTTTCCAAATATACTTTGCAACAAATCCGGTAATTTTAATGTGATTTATCATTTTACCCTTAGAATACTACTTCCCCTTAATGTAGAAATTAGGTGTTTTTATTACTTTATGAAACATTAGGGTGTGCTGGAATTTTGTTAAACCCGAAGGAGGTATTTGTTATGAAAAAAATATAAGCGGCCTTTGAGTTTTTCCACAAATGACAAAACTGTCCCGTGATTTATCGTCGTCTTTGGTATTCTCTAGCATTCCTATACTCGCAGATGCATGAGAGTGATTATAACGCACTTTATTATACTGACACATCAACTTATGTTATTTTGTAAAGGAAAAGCATGGGGAGTTTAGAAAATTAAAAAGGTGAGAGATGATGGTGAGGTTGATTCGTACGGACAGAAGAATGAAGAGAAAGGCGACATGCAATATAAGTATATTTTCTTTTCAGCTTGACGTGTTTCGAAATTGAAATTAAGAATTTATCATTTATTAAAATTATAAATACAAATTAGTGTATCATAAAATAAAAACTTATTTTACAAAATTACTCCTTTTGACTTGATAATTTATAATAAGTAATTAGGACCTTTGACCAGTTGACCTTGGATGTTTGGATAAATTCCTTTAATATTAATGGTTTAATCAACTTAACATTGATTGTTTTCACATTGATCTTTGATTTTAAGATTTTTAATGCACAATAAATAGTATATTATATTATTATTTGATACTCTCAATATTAATAAATTAAAAAAAAATTAGCAAAATTAAACAAACATATAGTAATCTACATGCGCTCCATGTAAGTCTGTCCCTGATTGCAAGTGCAATAAGAATGCTGAAGATTTCATAATCAACTGAAAACCCTATAAAATTATATTTTGTTTTAATTATTTAGTTTCCCAACCAAAGTGTTAAAATCTTGAGTAGCACTCCCATCAACTTCTTGCAGCTTTCATTACAATCTCTTCGGCATTCTCTCTCATTTTCTTTCGTTTTTCGTCACCAAAAATGACTTTCAAGCTCTTCGCAACTTCATTCTTGGTGAATACCAGGCTTTTAACTTTCATTCCAATACCCCAAACTTCCTCCACCATCCGTCCATTCATTCCATGATCTTTGAACAATGGCCTCCCCCTCATCGGCACTCCATTTGCAATGCTCTCACACACCGAATTTGCCCCAAAACTTGAGTCTGAGGTGTCCTCAGAACTATCTTTCCAACCTCGATACTTCTCCTCATAAACTTCTCCGGCATCTGCTTCTTCTTCTCATCGTTCAGGGACCAAATGAAAGGAATATTAAGCTCATCTAGGGCCTCCCCCAGAGCTATTATTTCATCCTTAGGAGGTGTAGCCACCGTACCGAAAGCAATGTAAGCCATGAATTTAGCTTTTTGTTTGTCAAGCAGCCTGTTTCATCCCAATCTGATGGCAGTAGTGGCGGGGGCGGCACTAGCTGGGTGAGAAAACCGACATTAAGTAAACTTGGAAGCTTGGAGTTATTGGAAGTTAAATATTGTTAGTTTGTTAATAATCAGTTATTAGTGTTAATTGTAGTTAGTAGATTAGTTAGTTAACTCAAGATAGTTAACTTTATTGTATTTTTATATAAGAAAGTACAGTACAATCAATAAACATTGATTCAGTTTCTCCCAAATATCACTCTCTGTTTCATACGAAAGTTAACATGGTATCAGAGCATCAAGAATCTGTTTTTCGATCAAAGAATTAGATCAATCAAGTTCTTTTCTGCTTCCGATCAAACTCAAAAGAGTCAAGAACCTTCAATTAGAGCTAACCTTCGGTTAGAGCTTTTTTGCACCAAATTTTCCTATCTTCAATCGAAGCTTGATTTTGCTAGAGAACTTCGATTAGTCTTCATTTTCGTTCTGATTCAGTTCGAATAACTCTCATTCATCTTCGTTTTTTAGCTCGTTTTAGTTCCAATCTTGTTATCTTAAGCTCAATACCTATGGCAAGTTCAACTGAAGATTTAATAGCACCTTCAATTGACGGTAATTCACCTTTCTATGTTCATCCATCTGACACTCCGGGCTCTGTTTTGGTATCTGAACAACTTATAGGAACTGAAAACTACGGGATTTGGAATCGTGCCATGACAGTTTCCCTTTGTGCAAAAAATAAGTTAGGGTTTGTGGATGGAACATGCACCAAATTGATAGTTCATTCGATCCTTGTTCCACAATAGGAGAGGTGTAACTCATTGGTTCTTGCCTGGATTTTCAACTCTGTATCAAAAGAGATTTTTAATGGCATAGTTTACTCTACAAGTGTGGCACAGGTTTGGCAAGATTTAAAGGAGCAATACATCAAAGTAAATGGAACCAGAGTGTTTGCTCTTCATCGAGAAATCATTAATCTAACACAAGGTACAAGCTCAGTAGCCATTTATTACAATAAGCTTAAATCGCTTTGGGATGAACTTGATTCCTTGGTTAGTCTTCCTGCCTCTGATAGTACTTCATCAAAAGCCTATTTGGAACACTTGAATCAACAGAAACTATTACAGTTTTTAATTGGGTTGAATGATTCTTATTCTATGGTTCGTAGTCAAATTCTCCTTATGAATCCCTTGCCAAATGTTAAGCAAGCTTACTCTGTGGTTTACCAAGATGAAAGTCAAAAAGTCTTAGCTGGAATGAATCAGAATTCTAATGTAACTACTGCTCTATATGCTCACAATAATGGAAAAGTTCATAATCAAGGCCAAAAGTATAAAGGGAAGAAACCATATATTGAGTGTGATTTTTGCCACATACCTGGACACAAGAAGGAATCTTTTTATAAACTCATTGACTACCCAGCAAATTATCAGTTCACAAAGAACAAATCCTCCTTCAAAACAAAAGCTTCTGCCAATCAAGTCCACGATCAAAACTCAACTCCTGATTCTGTTGAAGCTGGAAATTCTACTATTGTGGTAGGTCCAGTCTTGACAAGCAAGTAATATAATCAACTTCTTCAATTGTTGGGAAAGGAAACTGCCTGTCCACCAACTGCTAATCTTGTAGGTATACCTGTTGCCCTATTTTCTTGTTTTGATAATAGCAAGTGGATAATAGATACTAGAGCAACTGATCACATGACCTTTAACTATTCCCTTTTAAAATCACCTGTTATTGTAGAACAATCCTCTAGATTTCTTATAGGTTTACCAAATGGAGCCAAAACTTATGTGAAACATATTGGAACTGTTGATCTAGACAGTAATCTTTGTTTATCTAATGTCCTACACATTCCTGAATTTCATCATAATTTACTTTCTGTTTCAAAACTTACCAAATCTAACAACTGTTTCATTACCTTCTATCCTGATTTTTGCTTAATTCAGGATCTTTGCAATGGCAAATTGAAGGGTATTGGTAAGCATAGTCAAGGACTCTATTACTTTGATCCAAATTTGCATATTTCTCCTTTTGTATCAGTTTTTGAAAAGTCTAATAAAACTGAATGTAAGCCTTTACTTTCTTCACAAGCTGTACATTGCAATTTACAATTCAATAAAATGCCAGTTTTTTTTCTAATTCGTGTGTGTGATATGTCCAAAACTATCACATTATGGCACCAAAGATTAGGCCATGTTTCCTATTCTACTTTATCTACTATGGATTGCAATTTGCCCAAAATAAACACATCACATCTTCCTCCTACACACTGTTATGTGTGTCCCTTAGCCAAACAAACCAGGTTTCCTTTTCCCAATAGTACATCACAATCACAACATAATTTTGATCTTTTACACCTAGATGTTTGGGGACTATTTAGAATTCCTACCAATGGTAATGCTAGATACTTTTTTACCATAGTAGATGATCATTCTAGGGTGACTTGGTTGTTTCTTATGCAATTCAAGTCAGACACCTTTTCTACACTCAAACAATTCCTCCAAATGGTTCACACACAATATCATATGCATCCTAAATGTATTCGCAGTGATAATGGGTCAGAGTTTTTTAATACTTCTTGCCATGATTTGTTAAGTAGTAAAGGCATAATTCATCAAAGTTCTTGTGCCTATACTCCTCAACAAAATGGCATCGTTGAAAGGAAGCATCGGCACATTTTAGAAGTAGCTAGAGCCTTACATATTCAGTCTCATGTTCCTACTAAATTTTGGGGATATTGTGTCCAGGCAGCAGTTTATATAATCAATAGGCTGCCTACTTTGGTTCTTAAAGGATTATCACCTTTTGAAAAAAAAATTACTAAACCTCCTGCATTGGATCATTTAAGGGTTTTTGGGTCTTTGGCATATGCTACCATTTTACCTTCTAAAGACAAATTGTCTCCTAAAGCCATACCATTAGTATTCTTGGGTTATTCCTTAACTCAAAAAGGGTATATCCTTTATAATTTGTCTACTCATTCCATAATAGTTACTAGAGATGTTGTGTTCTATGAACACATTTTCCCTTTTGCTTTTTCTCACCCCTCACAGGTTACCTTTCCACTTAATTTTTCTTTTACTAAAACAGAACCAGATCAGTCTCATTCTCCTCCTAATCATGATTCTCCTTCTGTCCAGATCACAGAACCGATTGTTTCCCCTACCAACACATTATCAAATGACTTTTCTTCCCTAAATACACCAAGTCCTG